TCCGAGACACATCTGTCCAGCAGTTCCAAGAGGGGCCTCGCATGCAGTTTGAAATCGATGCGGTCCAAGTTCAAGCACATTCTGACTGGTGCCCCCATGGCCCAGCGCACAGCAGCCAGCGATGCCGGGGAATGGGCAGGAGTTGCATTCACCTCTGCTTTTCCATGCAGGTCGTTGTCCACACCTTGGCCGCCAGATGTCTATGAAACCGGCAGGTTGCAATTTGGCTCCTTCTTCACCACGTCTGCTTGGGTGACAGGAGCTGTGCTGTATGGCTACCCTGAAGGCCGAAACCATCCCAACGCACATGCTCAGACTGAGGCCTTACTGGATTTTGCGGTCTCTCACTTGATGTCCTTCCCAGGTCCGAAGTTCATTGGGGGAGATTGGAATTTTCAGCTCCCTGATCTGGCCGTTGTCCCGTTGTTGCGTGCCAGGGGTTGGGTCGAAGTGCAGGAGCTGTACCACACCATGACTGGTGCGCCTATCCAAAACACGTGTCGGGGCGCCACACGCAAGGATTTCCTTTGGATTTCTCCTGAGTTGGCAATGGTTTTGTCCGAGGTTCATGTCTGTCATGAGACTTTTGCTGATCATGCGGTGATCATTGCTAAATTCCGAGGGGGGTCCCACCACCTTGACAGTTTTGTTTGGCCTTGTCCGAAGCCCGTGCCATGGGGTGATGCACACGCTCTTCCTGACTGTCTGTCCTTCGCATTGCCAGCAGACCCAACTGCCCAGTATGCCAAGATGTGGCAGCTGAAAGAACAAGCTGCTGCTGCCACCGTGACTGAATGGATTCCTGCGATGGGTGGTAGAGGTCAACAGCTGCGCCCTATCAAGAGGCACCCATCAAGCAGGGACGCAAGTCAGATGTCCAACCGGGGTTTCATGGATTTTCTGCCTTGCATGTCAAACAGTTCCGGCAGCTCCGCCGCTTGCAGAACTACTGCCGTTGGATTTCTGCGGTTGAAGCCACCGGCACCGGGGATTGCATTCATGGAATTGGACTTTGGAATGCAATTCTCAAAGCACCTGGTTTTGTGCCCAACTTCAGGTGCTGGTGGTACGGGCGACAGTATGTCAGCCAACTTGATCCTGTGGACTTGCCTTGGTATGCGCCCAACTCTCAGGTTGCTCACCAGGTTTTTGAGGCTGTGCTTGCAGAAGTCCGGGCGTTCGAGCGCAACTTGACCTTTGCCCAAACAGCGCACAGGGCTGCACAACATGAAAAGGACCGGCTTTTGATTTTCCGGGAGGTGGCACGCCAGCCGGCCGCGCCAGTGGAATCGCTTGTCCAATCGGTAGCTACCTCTGTGGCCCAACTTGACCCCTCTGAGTGTGCGGTTGAGCTTGCTGAGCCCATCTGTCTGGATTCGTCGCAGCCAGTTTGGATTGGTGGCCAGCCGAAAGAAGTCATCCATGCTGACTCTGACAAAATTTGGATTTCTGACCTTGAGGGGGTACGACCTGCCGACCGAGTGGCCCAATCTAAACCAATCGGTCGCTTGCAAGACTTGTTTGAGGCCTTCCATGAACAGTGGAAGATTCGTTGGTGTCGGCACGACCATTTGGCCTTCAATCACTGGGATCAGCTTCTTGGTTTTGCCCGTCGGGTGTTGTCTCCTCAATCAATTCCGCCTCTTGGCATTGATGTCCCTCTCCTGCGTGCCGAAGTCTCCAGGAAAAAGAAACGGTCTGCTACTGGCCTTGATGGTGTTAGCCGTGCAGACCTGCTAGCCGCTGATGATGCTGTTTTCCAATCCTTGCTGCATGCTTATGACAGGGCTCAGACAGATGGAGAATGGCCAGCACAATTGCTGGCGGGCAAAGTTGTGTCGCTGGCTAAGTCTGAATCTGCTTCTTGCGTAGGTGACTACAGGCCTATTACCGTCTTTGGTTTGCCTTACCGCCTTTGGTCCAGTCTTCAGGCCAGACATCTGCTTGCTCATGCAGACACTTGGGTGGACGATGGAGTGTTTGGAAATCGACCAGGCCGCCAGGCGTCAGACCTGTGGTTTCAGTTGTTGTCTCAGATCCAAGCTGCCTACAGTGCCCAGTCGCCACTGAGCGGCCTGTCAGCCGACATCGAGAAATGCTTCAATTGCATCCCCAGGTTCCCTGCTTTGTGCCTTGCTGTGTTGATTGGGACACCTGCCGCTGTCACCACGGCTTGGGCTGGGGCCTTGGCTTCAATGAAGAGGCACTTTAAAGTGCGTGAGTCTTACTCTGATGGGTTCTTGACTTCAACCGGATTGGCCGAGGGTTGTGGACTCAGTGTCTATGGCATGCTGTTGGTCGATCACCTCTTTGCTCGTTGGATGCGTGCCCAATGCCCTGCGATCCGGACTCTCTCTTACGTTGATGATTGGCAGACCTATGCTTGGGATCCGTCTTTGGCTGTGCGCCAGTTGCAACTGGTTGAGCAGTTTGCTGGTCACCTGGACTTGACCATTGATAAGCGCAAAACCTTTGGCTGGTCCACTGACGCTGCTGTCCGACAGCACCTTCGGGACGCTGGAATCCAGGTGCTCCACCATGCGCGTGAATTGGGTGGCCACATGGGCATCTCCAAACAGTACACCAACCGAACCCTTGTCACTAGGTTCCATGACCTTGATGACTTTTGGCCCAAACTGCGTGCTTGCAAAGCGCGGCACCATGCCAAGGTTTACATGTTGCGAGCTGTGGCCTGGCCCAGGGGACTTCATGCGGTTGCAAGTGCACCTGTTGGTGGCTCCAAATGGCACGAGCTTCGACGTCGCGCCACTGGTGCCCTGTCCTTCCACCGTCCAGGGGTCAACGGGCACATCCTTTTGGGGTTGGTTGAAGCTGCTGTGGATCCTCAGTTTCTTGGTCTACTTTGGACTTGTCGTGAAACGCGTGCCAAGTGTTCCCCCGAGTTCTGGACTAACAGTGTTGCACCTTTTGCCCTGGGGCAGTTGGATTTGCCGCCCAACTCTTTGACTGCCATTTTGGTGTCACGTCTTCAACATGTTGGTTTCACCATTTTGCCTTCCGGGCATGTTGCTGATCAGTTTGGATCATTCTGCCTTCAGACGGCCAACTTCCATGAGGTTGAGTTTCGCCTGCAGCGTGCTTGGTGTAGGGTTGTTGCTGCACAGGTCGCCCATCGCATGGACTTTCAAGGACTAGAAGCGGTTGACTTAGTTGCCACCAGAAAGGCTCTGACAAGTTTGGCGGCGGATGACCAGGCTCTTCTGCGGTTCAGTTTGTCTGGAGGTCTTTTCACTGAACGGTATAAAGCCAAGTGGACTCAGCAAACTGACGGTTGCAAGTTTTGTGGAGCATCGGACTCCCTTCGCCATCGATATTGGGAATGTCCGCAACATGCTGACTTGAGACAACAGCTGGCCCCTGATGCAACCCAGGTTGTGGATTGTCTGCCCCCTGCTCTGGCTCTTCGTGGGTGGTCTCTTCTCCCGTCAACTTGGCTCCCGTGGATGACCCTTTTGACTGCCTTGCCTTCTGCCATGCCTGAGCCAGAGGCTAAGCTTTTCCCTAATGTTTGGAACGACGTTTTCACTGATGGCTCCTGTTTCTGGCAAACTCAACCACTTATTCGCGTTGCTGCTTGGTCCGCTGTCGTTGCTCGCCCTTTCTCAGGCCATTGGACTCCGGCCGCTGCTCAGGTCCTGGGAGCTTCCGTCGTTGCTGGACTTTGTCAGTCAGCCTACCGTGCCGAGTTGACTGCGTTGGCGTTCAGTCTGTCCTGTGCGGCGCGTGCGCGGGCCCCTATCCGTGTTTGGTCTGACTGCCTTGGCGTTGTCAACAAGTTCCACTTGCTTTTTTGGGGCGCTGGCAGACTTAATCCCAACAGCTCGAACAGTGATTTGTGGATGTGGATTGCAGATTCAGTCGAAGCTTTGGGAAGAGACCGCATACAAGTGAAGAAGGTTCCAGCACACCGGACGTTGCAGAGTGCCACAAACCTGCACGAAGCTTGGACCTTCTTTCACAATGCAGTTGCGGATCGCGCGGCGCGGCTGGCCAACCAGGCCAGACCTACAGAGTTTTGGCAGAAATGGGAACAGCATGTCAAGGAAGTAGATGCAGTGGAGCAGTTGGCTACACAGGTGCGAGCACTTCATGTCGCGGTGGGGCGCCGCCATGTTTGCCTAGCAGAACAGGAGACGGCCGTTGCTGAGACAGCCCCCAAAGCCACTCGGGAGTTTGTGCAAAAGTTTTCGTTGGGAAACTGGTGCGGTGCAGTCCCGCCGAAGACTGCCCTTCTGTTTGGCCCGACACATGTGACACGTGTGACACAATGGTTGTGGGAGCGTTTGCAGCCAGCTTCCAACAAGATTGTCTGGATGACCTTCAGCCAACTCTACATCGACTATCAACTGGCGTGGAATCACCCAGGACCACTTCGTGTTCAGGGACACTGGATCGACACTGATCAGAGGACCTATGTCGCTGCAGAACGATTCAGTTTCAAGCAGAGGGTGCGATGGTTCAAACAAATGGTGAAAGCTGTGCTGAAAGAAGTTGGTGTGGAAGCTGCGTTGGCGCAGGCGCGCCCAGCAGGTCACATGGTCCAAGCATATTTGCCGGCCACTTCCGTGCCCTGGCCACAGCAAGCTATTGACCGGACGGATGCTTGGCTGGCCAAACATCTGAAAGGGCCTTGTAGCAGGGACGCTGCTGCCTTGAATAGCCTCCCGCTGGCAGTGGTTAAGGGCGGCACCAGATCTGCCATGAGGTGAGATGCTGAGCTGGGCCACAAAGATTGGACTGCTTCGCTCTCCCTCCCGAGCAAGCAGCTGGTCAGAAAACCTGGAAAACCTGGTGGTTTCAAACATTTTTTATTCACCATAATAAAAAAGGGATGTCATCTTTCTCATTGACGAACTCCATCATTTTTCAAGATGGTTAAAACCACCACCAACCAGGTTATTAACCATCATTAACCATATAATAACCATATGTTAATCATATATTAATCGGTTAAACCCACATCTGCCTTTCGATGTTAGGTGAACCCTTCGCATCCTGGGAAGCTGAAGACCAGCGCGAACAGCAACGCCTTCACGCCTTAGACCGACGCTTGCGACTGCGGGCCCGCCGGAAGGAGGACCAGGAAGGGCGGACGGAGGTCTCCCAACGTTTCCCGAGTTTGCATCCGTTTTTTTCGGCTTTTTGAAGGCTAAATGTGCTGAAATTTATCCAAAAATTGGGGATGAACATGACTTTCAAATTTGTTTGGGGATGAAAATTCCCCAAGTAGTTGGGTGATCTTCAATTAGGGCATTTACCAAGCTCTGTTTTCAATAGTTTTGGAAGGTGTCTTCCGTGGATTTTGTTGATGTTGCTGATGTTTTGAGGTGTTAGATGGTGTTAGGTGGGACTTGTCCTATGATGTTGCTGATGTTCTTCGAGTTTTAGAGGCGTTCAAGGATTTTTCCACCGTTTTCCCATAGTTAGTTAGTGTTCATGGTCCAAAATCCCTGCACACAAAAATAATAGTGTATGTTTAGTAGGTTTGATTGAAACATGGAAGAAAAAATTGTTTTGGTTCTTTGCAATCGTTCGTGGTTGATGATTTTTCGTTTTTTTCACATTCTTCTCCCAGAGCGCTTATTCTTTGGTTGTCGACCTGGTTTCGCAGTGCGATTCCCGGACTTTAAGTCCAGAGGAAGCTGCCCATCTAAGGCTCAGTGAAGCTGGTGGAAACCTCGAATTTGTGGGCTAAATTGGAGGAAGAGGATCAAGAGATAGAGGATAAGATCGTGGATTTGGATGACCCCCGTCGTCCTGTGGATCTGAGACAGTACCAACAGCTCAACAACATGCAGGATGCGTCCATGGCGCAGTTGGAGGGTCCAAAATCCGCTCTCTGAGTGCTGGTGAAATATGTGAAATGTGGGCACCAAAAACGACAGTCCGGTGAAAAAAAACTGCACACTGTCAAGTATGCTGGCTGTCTTTTGTGGCTGATGTTAACATTGTTGCATGATACACTCTGGTTATTTAACAGTTCGCCATGGAAAATCACCATGCTATTAATAGGTAAACCATCTATTTCTATGGGCCATCTATACCATGGCGAACTGTTAGTCATAACCAGGTTGGGTATCCCTTGAAGAATGGCAAACTGGCTAGGTGAAGCCGGAGGATAAGGTCATCAACAAGGCAGGGAATTGTTCTTGGGATGGTCAGGGATGGTTGGTTTTTTCTTAGTCTTCTACCGAGTCATCGCCCCAGAAAGTCTACAAAATCTGGGAAACTGTTGGGTTTGATCATGTTTGATTATGTTTGATTAGTGAATCTTGACTTTTTGAATCATTCCAGCTTATACACAGTTGGTTGGATGAAAAAATACACATTATCTATGTAAATAACGTGGTCCACACACCCAAAAAAAAGGGAGGGCCTTCACACATCACTGAACCCATCAGGTAGATTCACCTCGCAATTGCTGCATGATGAATAGGAGAACACTCCATCTACAAATCACAAAAAAGTCCATTGCCATGTTCGATCACACCCTGAAAGCCGAGTTGCCAACCACAGTAGTGATCCAAATATGTTGCTATGATAAAAGGTGGAGCAGCATGAATCAGAAAAAATGTTTTCTGTGCGGAATCATCCAAAATATTCGTGAATTAAGATGAGCACCAGATCAACTAGAAATCATTTGGGTTTGAATCTGCTGAAATATGCGTATGACTCAGTTTCCGACATTTTCCCCATTATAATGTTGCAGGGTGGGACATGTCCCAGACAAAGCCAGAATGGCAGGTGTCAGCGACCTTCATCAAAGACTCCTTCGATGAACACGCTAAGAGCATCTCGAATCAGGATAGCCGTTTTGGTCCACAAAAATCGACAAAGAACCCAACAAGTTCATTAGATCTGGGGGATGTTTGGTGATTGTATAATTATACAACATGTATATAGACATATATATATATATATGCGTGCGTGTGTAATTATATAATATTAATATATATATATATATATATATATTCTTGAATTTGGGGGAGCGCAACTTGTGAAAATACGCAACCTGTAGACACTTCACCTCTGGAACTGGAAGATTTTGTGACTCAGCTCTGACACCCATCGCTGTTGCCATCGTCCATTTGGGCAGCGCTGAGGTATGCTGAATGACATGAATTTCCTCAAGACACTCAGCTGCAGCCATCCCAAGCGTGCATAGTGGCAGTGGCTGTGCCTGGTGAGGTTGGAAGATTTGATGATGTTGAAAGATTGGATAAAGTTTGATCATTTGGTATATTCAATATATTTACTATAGGTCTACTTAACATCACATCACTAGATTTAGATAGGGCAAACATAGTTATCTCAGGCTGGACAATGAATATTTCACCATAGGTGGCCAGCTCGCCAGCTCTTTCTTGAGGAATCTCAAGCGCTTCGCTGGGAGCTCAGCTATTACCCTCTGCTAAACTAGCAGTTTGCTATTGAAAATGGCCATAGAAATAGTGGATTTACCCATATAAAAAAGTGATTTTCCAGTTCGTTATGTGGCTGTTTACCAGAGGGAAAATCTGGTGGTAAAGCAATGGCCTATTATGTTTTACTGGTTGGTGACATGAATTTGATTTTCCATAAAATATGGGAATAATCATCCCAACTGACTTTCACTCATATTTTTCAAGATGGTTATTGCACCACCAACCAGCCTATTATGTTTTAAGTTGTAAGTATTAAATCTTAGATGATAAACTTGGAAATTTTCTCACACTATGTTTTGATAAATCAATGTCTGCTATCCCCAAACGAGAGACCTCTCCACAGCTGTATGAAATTACCAAAGGGTACATGTTTGGACCTACCACATTGCCATTCAATGGGAAACTACCATCGATTTTGTGGTGTATGTAATTTTGAGCCAATCCTCCATCAAAAATTACTTTACTTCGTGTGATCCCCACCATGACATTTATACATTTTCTTACTGGCAAATCTTCTGGCATTCTATCTGACATATCTTCTGACATTCTATTTGACATTCTATCTGGCATATCTTCTGGCATATGATCTGGCATATCTTCTGGCATATCTTCTGGCATTCTATCTGGCAAATCTTCTGGCATTCTATCTGGCATATCTTCTGGCATATCTGGCATATCTTCTGGCATTCAAATCTGGCATTCTATCTGGCATATCTTCTGGCATTCTATCTGACATATCTTCTGGCATTCAATCTGGCATTCTATCTGGCATATCTTCTGGCATATTTTCTGACATATCTTCTGGCATTCTATCTGACATATCTTCTGGCATATATTCTGACATATCTTCTGGCATATCTTCTGGCATATCTTCTGGCATATCTTCTGACATATCTATCTGGCATATCTTCTGACATATCTATCTGGCATATCTTCTGGCATATTTTCTGGCATTCTATCTGGCAAATCTTCTGGCATTCTATCTGGCATTCTATCTGGCATTCTATCTGGCATATCTTCTGGCATATTATCTGGCATTCTATCTGGCATATTTTCTGGCATATATTCTGACATATCTTCTGGCATTCTATCTGGCATTCTATTTGGCATTCTATCTGGCATATCTTCTGGCATATCTTCTGACATTCTTTCTGACATTCTTTCTAACTTTTTTCTGCACATTCTTTGTCCCATATCTTCCTACATGAGGTCCGGCAGGGAACACTTGGCGTGGATACTCGCGGTTGAGGTCCGGCAGGGAACACTGGGCGTGGATGGTCGTGGTTGAGGTCCGGCGGGGAACACTGGGCGGGGATGGTCGTGGTTGAGGTCCGGCAGGGAACACTGCGCGGGGATGCTCGTGGTTGAGGTCCGGCAGGGAACACTGGGCGTGGATGGTCGTGGTTGAGGTCCGGCAGGGAACACTGGGCGTGGATGGTCGTGGTTCAGGTCCGGCAGGGAACACTGTGGATCGCGGGTCGCAGTTGGACGAGGACGACGAGGACGACGAGGACGACGAGGACGACAAGGACGACAAGGATGACAAGGAGGACGAGGAGGACGAGGAGGAGAGGAGGAGGAGGAGGACGAGGCAGGAGGAGGCAACTGACATAAAATCTAACAACCCTCACCTGGCAGGTGGGGAACACAGAAGGTGTAAGTTGGAAAAGTCGTTGTAAATGTGGTAGCCCAGTTGCACCTGGTTACACATGGTATATCCCCAGCCAAAAGTGAGGCAACAACAAATCACTGGGGTGCCCAAGAAATGATCATCATATATAGCCCCTGGTAAGCAAACATGGCCATGGAACTTGAATGCCCATTTACCTCTGGTAAACATACAAAAAGCTATTGAAAATTGCCATGTATAGTGGATTTACCCATTAAAAACATAGTGATTGTCCATTTATAGCAGTTGAACATGTCCCATTTATAGTTGATTTACCTTAAAGATTGTGATTTTCCATAGTTTTTTGTATGTTTACCAGAGGGTAGTTCCAAGTTTTCCCACAAGATGTCCCATCTTTGATGACATGGGCCGATCCGCCCCAGGGCGCCGTGGTTTTGATTTTTTCCAAGGCAGAACACAGCCGCGACTCCATCAACGTTAGGGGGCCCAGCCCTGGATTGAAACTGTTATTGAATGGTGGTTGAACATCATTTAACCACCAACATTTACTTTTTTTTTATAGGTAAACCATCTATAAATGGGCCATCTATACCATGGCTATGTTAAATAACCCAGAGGGTATTTATCTGGTTGGTGCTTTGGAACCATGGATTTTTATGACTTTCCATATATTGGGAATAATCATCCCAACTGACTATATAATATGTTTCATTATTTTTTCCAGGGGTTGAAACCACCAACCAGTTTAGGTTTCTACCACCTAAAGTTCAAAGGGATATACTTGATAAACGATGCTTGGTTGATAGGTATGCTACCCAACATATTGGTGCTGATCCTTGATGGGAATCTCAAAGAACTCAAAACATGATTTCTGATATTGTCATATACAGTAACTTGTATTAACACCACCTTCACCACCTGATTGGGTCCTTGAATGTATTCAAGTTGTTCCTTGATTCCTGATGACAGCTGTGTCAGCTTCATCACCTTACGTTGGCATAAAAAAAAGGCTGGAAAATCCATGATGGATCGATGATTTTCCCAGCTCACATCAAATTTGGCTCAGGATTTTCCATATTTGATGACCCACCATTATCCCATGATACTCCATGAGATTCCCATGGTATCCTGGGAAAATACCAACATTTTTCATGGTTAAATTTGGAATTTAAACAACATTTTATAGATACCAATTTATATACTCTATTTAGTATTATTGCTAGTTCCCAAAATGATTTCTTGCTAGCATAAATGGTTATCATGGAATTCCAATCATTTTGGGAACTAGCAGTAACTAACATTTATGTTAGAATCATGATAATTTCTTGCTAGAGTTTGTCGATTCCCATCGAGTGTCAGGATGAAACTTGCGAGCTGATCGAGCCCTACATCCGTCCGGAGCCAATTCAGATGGGGCATACCTAAATTGCCATGAGGCCGTTTTCATTGTGGGTAAAAGCATGTCATAAACCAGCTCATTTTTGGTTTATACCAACAATATATGGTGATTTTGGGGATGGTTGATGATTGTTTTAACCACAGGGCTCCTGTATGGGGATACGCCGATATATCCAAAAAAACATCCTGGAGAAAACTGACTTTGAAAAAAAATGTATATGGGGTCGCCAATCCACCGAACATATTGTAGAATATGAACATTGTCACAGAAAAGGATAAAGTTCACATGGTTTATCTGATGATGTTCATCCGGAAGTATAGTCTACGCTCACCATCAACTATTGCCCTTTTTTTGGAGCTTTGGAGCTCAAACACCATCAGGACCGTTAGGAGTGCAATGGGCAAATCATTGTCAGATCCCCCCAGCTGCGCCGAAGCACGGTGTGTTTTCACATACAAGGAGATGGTCGCCCATTAATAGGGTTTAATCGTAATGTAGGTAAAACAATGCCACAAACCACCTATTGGGGAATGGTAAATATACCGCCTAAAATGGTTTTCTGACTGGGGGATGGTGCCAATGGCATTGTTTTACCTCACTTTAATAGACCCATGATACGAATTCCCAATCTGGGACGACTCTGACCATGGTGGGTTGCCCGAGAGGTTTTGACGCAGATCCAGTGAAGAGCTGGGGCCCATGGAAGCATGCAGTGTGGCAAGCTCAGAGCGTCCACATTGGCGTGTCTATAATTGAAGTTTGGATACAGAAATCCCTAGAAATTTCATGAAAACCCAGAATCAGAACTATCATGAAAACCCTAAGATTTATCATTAAATAAATATGAATAAATGATGAAGCTGTACGATAAACGGTGGGATGGCGCTCAAGACTGCCCCTAAAGTTTCAAAGCCGTCTCTCGGTGGAGCCGAGATGAACTAAGGCTAGACCAGTCAATGGCCAAGAAGGCGAACGCGGCAGCAGAAGGCCTTTGCAAATTTGCCATTGCCTTAAGTCTTTGCGCCGAGTGGAATGGATGAACAGGTGCACCTAAGTTATTAGATAAATATTGGTAAATAGATCAATGGCCACAAATAGACTTGTTGTTCTTTCACGTATGGGTGGCCTTTGGCCCATATAAATTCACTTGAGATTTCTCGCACATCCTGTATCATCCTGTGCGCTGTCCTAACTACAGATGGTTTTGTCCGAACATTAGGTGCATCTGAAAATGAGTTCCAAAATGAGTTCCAAAACGGCAGTATTTAATAAGAAGAACACAACATTCGTCCCCTGTGCAAACATAGAAAAAATGTGGAAAACCTATTTGCAGATCATTGTCCCAGGGAAACCATTGTGTTTTTCCACATGTTTTGTGTGTTTCCCCTAGGATGACTGATCAATGGTGCTAAGGTAGGCGCCATGGTCATGTACCATGAAGCTTCAAAGATTGTGAAGCCAAAGATGGACTACCTCAAGGCTTGAAAATGTATGGAATGTTGGGGAAATGTTGGGTTTATCGTTTTTTTCTGGTTGACTTTAATGGTTTTATGTGGGATTACTAGGACTTATTGTGAGTTTACCTACTACGGGTCTAATTGGAACATACAATGGGATAATACGATCTATATAAGTGCTTAATTGTGGACTTGCTGGAAATGTTTCTTGCGTGTTTTTTTCCATATGTGATTTAGTTTTTGGTGCCATTTGATTGGGTTGCCTCCCACCAAATCGCACAAACCATTAGATGTGGGGCTATTTGATGTGCAAACCAAGTCTTTTGAAGGTTTTGGCCATTAGTACAGATATTCATTAGGTAGAGATTACCCTCTGGTAATTTAACAAAGCTATGGAAAATCACTATTTTTAATGGGTAAATCCACTATAAATGGCAATTTTCAATAGCTTTTTGTATGTTTACCAGAGGGTATGTGTTTTTTTTAAGGTATCTAAGATGGGCCATGCAGTTGCGCATGGAGAATCATCCACGTCATCAAGGCGATGGAAAAATGCGCGATGAGGAGACGGTCGGCATAGCATGATTTAGCAGCACTGACCGACTAAGGCAACATCATGATGGCTAAGGCTAAGAACTTTTTATAGATGTGTATATGTGCATATATACATATATGACATAGATACAAATTCATGACCACCTAGACAGACAGCTAGCTAGATAGATAGATGGAGTATGTAAAATCAAGAATGGTCCGGTGGCAAAGCTTTGCGGCAGAGTTGTCCCCCAAAACCCCAGGTTCAAGAAGCAAAACTGGACAAAGCGCGTGCGGAGTTGGCAGAAGTCTCTTTGCTTGCCATAAATGGGGATCAAAAATCCAATAAGTTATCGAATATATACAATGTGAGGCCCCTTAGATAGCTAAGTTGGTTTATAACTCCAATAACTATGGTTTATGATACTTATAACTTATAACTATAGTTACTGGGGTTTATAAACCAACTTATAACTGGGGGGCCTCACATTGTATATATATATATGTGAAAACAATGTTTTTTGTCGGCAGTGGGGAGAGAGATGTATGTTTTGTTTCATATTTACTGGGCATCACACCCCCAAAAAGAAAACATGCAAATTCACGTCGATATTAATATGGATATATGCGTGTAGTAATATATGTGTCTTCCACCTCTAAAACTGAAGTGTATTTTTTGTAGATCACCAATCATGGCTGAAACTGGTAGACGAGCAAAATCCTTCAGGGGTTGCCAAAAGAGTCCAAGATTGATGGAATTAAGTTTGATAACTTTCCCAAGTTTTATCATTCACATGGTTGCTGTGGATGTTCTTCCTTATTTTTGGCTAAATGTTCAATTTTTGGAACCATGGAGAGACCGAAATACGTGCAGCAAAGGAAAACCCCCTTTGGCTGCTCTGAACCCAATGTGGATTAAAATCACAAAGCTGGCGCAGACCGATCAAATTGGTTTAAAATATTCTATTCTGGTTGATGGTTTGGAACATGAATTGTATGACTTTCCATTCAGTTGGGATGTCATCATCCCAACTGACTTTCATATGTTTCAGAGGGGTTGAAACTACCAACCAGCATTTGTTGATGTGCAAATATGCCTTTCATTGACGATATAAACGTCCGTTTATTGATACCTGTGAATGAATCCAATTGACGCAATGCCTCACTTAAATTCATTGGGTAAATCCTAAGAACAGCCATTCCAGTTGTTCAATTTTCGTCGGTTCCAATCTGTTGAATCTAAGTACCCTCTGGTTATGTCAAAATAGCTATTGAAAATGGCCAGTTATACTGGATTTTCCCATTAAAAATGGTGATTTTCCATAGTTATGTTAGTTTACCAGAGGGTATTTCTAGTCAAAATATGATTTCGACAGGTGCTGCCTTCCTCAAACATGTCTTGATGGTGCAAATGTGTTCGATTCAGCATGGGTTCGTCTTAAATATGCACCCAAAAAAAAGCCAATCTAGTGGGGAAAATGAGGTTTTGAAACATGGGGCCCCAAATTGATCCAGCATATTTTATTGCTGAACATCTAAATTCATTATATAGATTTCTCCAAAACTATCTGGATTTCAATCATGCATCCGATGTTTGGCTTGAACTCACAATTTCTTGATGAAATACTGCAGTTTGTCCGAAAATATGGCAGCTGAAAATCCCCCAGCAAATCCTACAGTTGATCATCATTTCACCTATCGAACATGGCACACAATGGCACTGATGTAGACCCCTATAGTGCCACCCCAATCTAAAGAGGAAAAATGGCAAGCTCCAAGGCTGAAGCGGAGCTTCATAAGGTGCAAAGTGAAGTAGCTGAGTTGGTGCCTTGGAGCAATCTGTGGGCAACATTTGGCGGTGTTTTTTCGGGGTGACATCCGGTCGGTGTTTTTGTTTCATCCGCTTTGAAAAGATGAAATTGGTTGAGTCTTGTTTGGTTGAAGTCCGTTGCCGACAATCCGATGTTTTTGGGCTACTAATGCAAGCTAATGGATGTATATGGATTCTGGATTGCTGTTTTTGAGTGTTTACTTTGATTAGTTGTTTTTTCCAAAATCAAGGGCCCATGGCGAATCACGAGCAAGGGCCATGCTCAGATTTCGCCAGATCTTGAGATGTTACCATCACAAAGTGACCGGTTGATTGACTGACGGGTTTCCACAAAACTGATGAAACACCTTGAAAACCATACCTATTCAACATATTTATATATATATATATACATTTTTTGAAAAATCTATTTATTTGTTTTTTAGACGTGATATGCATGTAAATATATATGTGTATGTAGATTAGAGTAGAATACATTAGATTAGATTAGATTTTAAATTAGATTAAATAGATAAATAGACCGGAATCGTTTTCGAACTCGCAGTGTTTGTTTATTTAAATCTAGTTATCCATTTTATCCATATCCAGATCTACATTTGGCAAAAACCGGATTCGCAGGATCGGCAGCTGCAAGCAGCTTTCCATGCAAAGGCAGAATTGGAGGCACTGATTTTCCACGGACTCCTGGGAAAAGTTTAGGAAAATATGAAAAATCTTGGAAAATTATGTGAAAACGGGACTGCCATGTTTTTTTAAGTAATCTCACGGAATAGAAGTTCTTGTGAGAATGGGGAAGAACGAGTAATCATGGGTAGAGTTTTTCCGCCATTCGCGGCCAATCATGGTCACCCTGCAGAAAGTTGACCGATCCAGCCGGTTTCCCCCAGCATTGCCAACCAGAATGGCTACTGATAGTTGCTATCAGCAACAGAACTATGTTATGTATGGAAAATCATCGCTTTACGTAGCACATCGTTTGCACATGGGTCATTTTCCAGTTCGCTATGTTGGTTGTCGGAGGGTAGATCAAACTGATACCCTGGCTTTTGCATCATCGCTCTTTGTCTCTCTGTCCATGTCCGCCAATTTCTTGTATCTCTCCTTTTCCCTATCTTTCTAGCTCTCTTTATCTCTCGACCTATCTATCTGTTTGTATGTCTATCCCCCGGTATTTCTCTCTCTCTCTCTCTCCCCCTCCCCCTGTCTCTATCTCTATCTTTGCTTTATTGTTTGGAAAAGAAGCATAATACGAGACTTCCTTCCAAAGTGGAAGTTGGCAGGTCGAAAAAGAAGAAATTCTGCGAGACTTTTTGACCAAAACGAACCAAAAAAAGAACGCAGCTATTTTGCGAGACTTCCTGCAAAATGCGGACGGAGTTGAGAAGTTGAGATCATCTGTGAGACTTCCTCCAGAATTCGAAGTTTCCAACATCCAAAACCAAGCAGCTCTGCGAGACTTCCATCAAAAATGAGAAGTTGAATGCAGACCTGACAGCCTCGTACCAATGGGTTTTGCGATGTTTCCATCCCATCTCTCTAAAGTATTGCGCTTGCCACGAAAAAGTGAGGCCAAGCGCGTGTCGGATTGCTCTCGTTGTGGCGCGGTGCTGCTTTTAGCTGTTTCTCTTGGATCCGGGTAAAGGGATCTTATGAATTCTCTGGAATGTCCTTCTATGACGCTCTTGCAAGGATTTCATGGTGCATAAGCGAAGGAAGTTTTTGAAGTCAAAATTCTGACCATATGGACAGATGGAAAAGCAAAGAGTCAGAGAAGAGAAAAGAAGAAGATCAGAGAAGAGAAAGAGTCAGAAGAATCAATGTTTTGTGGCTCTAGAGGGCCGAAAAGTAGGCTCGCTAAAGCGGCGGGTGCGGAGCCAACTTGGGAGATGAGAGGTCAAACATTGCATACTACTATGGTGCGAAGCACATTTAGAAGTCAAAATGCCAAAAGCACTACATGCTCGGAGCACTTTTGGAAATTCAGTTCAGACGTCGAAAAAGTGCACTCCATTGTGGTGCGAAGCACATGTCCAAGTCAAAATGGTAAAGGACCACATGTTCGGACCACTTTTGGACGTCGCATCGTCGAGGCAGGCGCAATGGATGCTGCACCTTGCCAAAAGTCATCAAAACATGAAGGTTTTGTAGAAGTTGCAAAAACGATGGCAGGTGTGGGGCGTTTGAAGAGGATCTGCAAAGATGGATGTCACGTGGCAGGCGCAGTACAAGAGACATCTTCAGCAAAGATATTTGGGAAGTGAGGTCGCTGATTTCCTGAGAGGGGTTGCATTTTGGAGCATCAAAACTTCGCCTTTGCTAAGATGATTTTGCGTGACAGGTGTAGAGAGGGTTGCGCGAGCGATGTCAAAATTCGCAATCCGACACCCAAAGTCACAAGAGGGTTGCGCGAGCACATGTTAGATGTTCACAAAACCTTGTGCGCGCCACGAAAAATGAACATTGAAAATGTACAAAACGAGGCTTTACCTAGGTCTCAGCCACTCGAAGTCGAGTCTACAAAGTACTGGCCCCTTCAAAACGTCGTCCAAGTTCACCCAATACTGCGCCTGCCACGAAAAATGACTTCCAAAACCACCTCTCACGGCTTGCAAACCTGTTAGCAACGCGCTGAAAATGCCACGCCTGCCACGCGGATGAAAATGCATCCGATGTTTGCACCTGTCACACAAAGCGACGTTTTAGATTTCAAAATGTCCCAGAAGTGCCACGCATGCCACGCGAAATGGACATAGCTCAAAAAACAAGCACGGCGCGCTAGTAAAACGACACCTTCGGAGGAGCACATATACCTTTTGCGCGAGCCCGCGCAGTCGAAATGCACATGGAAATCTCACAAGGGAACATTTATGCGAGAATTTACAGCAAAAATGCTGTGCCCCAGAGGGCGTACCCTGATCTAACCCCGGCCTTTACTCTTACCGTACGAGCCCTTCAGTGTGGACACGCTGTTTGGGGAATCGCAGCCCTTGACCGTAGCCCATGCAGTAGTACCCTTAAAATTCAGGAACCACAAGCACATATGAAGTGGACAGCAAGCACTACCATTTTTTAAGCCTTGTCAATGGGGGGTCGGGAGCTGCAATACGAATATGAAACCGGAATGAATCTTGCCCAGAAATGAATTTGGAATATGGTTTGGCCAATTCTTTGATTTCCCTCAGTTTGATTACGTTCAGGACTCGTTGCCTTGGCAGTTGTTCCTTGAAGTCAACTGTCTTCAAGTGTCAGTACCAAAACAATAAAGATTGTTTTTTTATTGTGTATATATATATATATATTTAACTCGTGCTATTGGCATCTGATTTGCCAAGATGGTTTGGAATCTGACAAAGTGGTGATTGAGCATGGAGAATCCCATCCCCTTCATATAAAACACCGCCCAGAAACGAATGATTTTTCTCCTCATTTTGGGGACCTCGGGCATCTACTGTGGGGCAACTGGCAATGATTTTGTAGATGACCATCGATCCATGGTACAGTGCCCCTTTGTCGCCGCGCAAATGCCAACGCTTGGACGTTACAATTGCTAAGAACCTTTCACACATGTTGGTTGGTTGGTGGGGACATGAAGTTCCATGTGTTTCACAACTTCATTCTTGGAAATGTTTTTTTTATTTTTGCGTGTTTGAGCATAGGATGCCCCCAAATCCAATGGTTTATCCTTTTTAAATGTGCGATTTTGGTGGTACCCCATGTTGAGACATCCATCTCACAGTCAATCCTTGGCAATCTCCTCAACAGCCGGTTCTCGGAAAACTGGACCTCTTGCCATTCATGGCTGCGGGATTTCCATCGCAATGGGGAAGAGTGCAGCTGAAACAGGGATGTGGTAATGCTATCTTTGCTACTCGCTACAAGTGGTTGGACCCATTCCAAGTGGAGCCAGAATAGACATCACAACATACATGCCATTCCAACATATCTACAACAACTGTGGTTGAGGCTTCAAACATTTTTCACTCATGGATCAGGCGATGGTATTTGAATTTTCCACTAGCAAGCTAGGACCCAAACTTCAAATCCCAGAAAACAATCTGGGTCCAAGGTCGCTCGAAAAAGAGATGCTTTTGCATAGTCCATGTCCACTAGCAATCGAACAATCCTAGTTTGGTGCTTGGGAAGTGTCCTTCGGGTAGCAGCTATGACAAGCCACCTGGCACGCGCCAAATGATTGAGCATCAAAGGAAGAAGCCGAGCACCGAATATATGCACGCTTGCCGTTTTGATGAGACAAGGATGATCGATGAGGGGCCTTGGTTCAAACATGAGGGCTGCATGGGCCGTGTGAGGTGGCTGCCCACACTTCGGCTCGCCTGAGTAAAGGAGTGGACAACCTGCATCCTCGCCCCTTCCTGCACAGGCCAACAAAGAAGCCCAGAAGAGGAAGACCGTCAGAGACTTATTTTGAGCTCAAAACTGCGCATCACTGACCGTAGCTTGCAGGCCCTATGTGAAGAAAATCCCCCACTACCAAGCGGTCTCGCACAGTTCCAAGTTACGATAAGGCTTATCAACTAAGCAGCCCCGTTACGAAGCTGACAACCCCAAGCTGCCCAAGTTTGTCCCAGGAAGCTGCCAATCGTTTGTTGAAGGGTTTGGAAACAGAGCAAGATCGATGGACAGAGGACCCGGCCACCGACTGGGAGGGGTCTATCACATGTTGGGGTCAGATCTGGGAGGGATAACGTTCCAAGTGCTGGGCGAAAAGCAAGGATGCTGCGACCTTTGCATCACGACGGCTGAAGCTGGTGGGCGACGTGGCCCAAAGCTTAGCTGAGCCTTTTTCTTGTGACTTTGCCGGCGCTTCCTTGGATATGACTATTTGAAGTTCGGAAACGAAACTTGTAGGCTTCTGGTGTTCAATCAGCACATTTTTGGCGCAAACACTGTCGCAGTTGCTGTTTCAAGCATGTCGCCGCTGTTCCTTATTCAACCGAATCATGATGGAAAAAAAGGCCTTGGCCCTTGGTGTTTTTGAAGCCTGAGGTTGCTCAACCCCTAAATCACATGAAGGCATTTACCTTTGATTCGGGGCGCCAAAATGAATCAGGGCGCCAAATATCAATGGTGAAACTTACATGAAATGCTGAGAAGCAGGTCATGCTGAGAAGCACACAATCTGCTGAAAAGCATGTCTTGTTGTGACATTATCATGCCTATTTTTTTTTGATGGAAATGGTGAAACTTAAATGCTGAGAAGCAGGTCATGCTGAGAAGCACAAAATCTGCTGAAAAGCATGTTTTGTTGTGAAATGTTTATTTTTTGACGGAAATGGTGAAACTTAAATGCTGAGAAGCAGGTCATGCTGAGAAGCACAAAACCTGCTGAAAATCATGTTTTGTTGTGAAATGTTTATTTTTTGATGGAAAAATAGAATAATTTAATGGATGTTTGATTGGGGAACATTCAAGAAACACCCAAACTGGAACTAAAAGGTATGGTCGATTTATTTTTGTATATATGTTGATTTTCTTTGTGCTGATAAGCACTATTTTGCTGAGAAGCAATTACTGTGCTGAGAAGCACTGCAAAACAAACCTAACTCGAAATGCCATGAGTACCATTTATCCAATCACTGAATGTCACCAACCCCAGGTATGTTGAACAAAAACTTCAAGATTTGTTTCAACTGTAGATTTAATTTACATGACATGAATCCATGTAGGATCCAATCAAG